GTGTGCACGAGGCGCGATTGAGCATCGAGTCGAGTTGTGCTCAGAAGCAATCCGAAATCGATGAACTTTGCGCTCAACTTGATCAACAGACCAGCGCGAATCAAACGCAACAAGAGAGAGGTAAACGACTGGACGCTGAAATCGCTCAACTAAGACGTCGATTCCAGGAATCAAACGCCTCTCATCAATCCGAAATTCGCTCAACAAAATTCAAAAGTCAAACGGCGAATGATGAACTGAATGATCAAATTGCCGCACTGAAAAGGTACGTTGACAAATGTAGTCAAGAGAACCGTCAATTACGGAAACAGATCGCAAAAAGTACAAAGGAACTTGAAGAAACTAACAAGGCGAAAACGGATGCTGAAAATACACTGGAACCTTCGCAAGAGGCGATCTCTGAGCTTCGCACAAAGAGTGTCGAGCAACAGCAGGACATGGAAGCATTGAATTCAGTGAATCGTCAAGTAACCACGGAAATCGGTGAGCTGAGGTCACGCCAAAAAGAACTAGAGCAAGAACTGGCTGAGATGTTACTGGCGAAGACATACGTGGTGAAGCAATTGAACGAAGTGAGTGGAATACGCACGGACGAGAGTGGCAAACGACAAGCTGTCGGTTCGCAAATCAAAAATCTAGAATCCGAGAAACTTAGGCTACAAGCAACATTGGAGGATGAGATGAGAAGTACGGACGAGGCACGTCGAAAGCTAGCCGAAATGAACGCTGAACTCGGGCATTACAAAGGTCGCTTCAATGAAACCAATACGTTGGTTTCAAATGATACAGTTGAAAGTTTGAAACGGCAGTATAACGAACAAATAGAAGAATTACGTAAAAGAGTCGAAGACGCGAATTTTCGAATCGTTAACGCGGAAAAGGACAGAATGAGAATGTTGTGTGAATCAGAGGATATCAAGAAGGAAGTGGATCGTTACAAGGCGATTATAGCGCAGTCAGAAAGGCGATCGAATCAGCTGAATGCAGAGTTGAATGAGTGGAAGAGAAAAGTTAGTGAAGTGAGTCAATTGCTGGATGAAGCACAACGCAATGCACAAATTCAAAGTGCTGATTTATATGGTGAACAAACGACATACGATAAACTGATAACGGATATGCAATCAGTTGAACACGAAAATCAGCAGCTACAAAAGGAGAACAACGAGCTGGGTGAACAGTTAGTGGAAACATCGAAAATGCTGGATGAAACAAGGAAACTAACGAGAAATTTAGACATGGACAAGCACGAACTGCAACAAACGATCGATCAAACAGAAACGTTGTTGGAGATGGAGCAAGGAAAACTGGAGAGCTT